CTCCCAGAGCACAGAATCTAGACGTTCTGGAATAAATCCCAGAAGGGCAGATTTTGGCATAATATGGGAGCAACTTCCTTTATTTAGTCCAATGAATAGTCTGGGCTGCTTGGCAGACATGGTACTTCTTTGGTTAAAATGGATGCTGGTAAGGGCCAGGAGGAAATGTAAGCTATTAGTCTAGGGGACAGTAAGGTGTTTCCTAAATTGGAGGGTCGATGACTCTGTCGTAGGTTTCACTTTTCCAAAGGTAACATTTTGTTGCTTACAGTTAAGCAGGGAGGTTGCATATCACAAGGTAGAAGCTCAGTGTACTTAGAAAGGAGACCATCTGCATACTGCTGTTCAGCCACAGGCTAGAGTGGGTGATGCCTCTCCCCTCCACAAAGGAAACAGCTTTCCTGTAATCTTCCATCGTGCAGATTTGTTTTGCCTGTTTTTATCCCTAAATGGGACTGTGCAGTGTTCTCTAGATATCCTCAGAGATGTAAGTCAGGCAGACACCATAAGGCTGGGTGTCAGGCAGCATTTCCATAGCAAAACTGGCCACTGCTGTTGCTTCCTGAGCTGCCCTAGAGATGTGGAAAAGGCAGCTCACACCTTTGGCCAGATGCCTGACAGCCTTTTAGGGCAGTTCAGCCTCAGCTGGCCCTGGTTCCCTTGGAGAGTGAAGACAGGGCATCCGTGGTGCAGTACTGATCCAGTTCTCTGCCCACGCTAGCTGATGCCTTTGCCTTTCTGAATGCCTGTACAGAGTACTCAGCCCCATGTTCCTGTGCGAACTGCAGGCTAGAATCCTCTGTATTGTAAGTTTAGAAAAGTGGACTCCAAATTATCTATTGTCTTAGACTCCTCGAGTGCTAATCCAGTGTCCTGGTCTTACAGAGGCCCCTGGAGGCGGGCAGGGTGGAGGCTGAGGCTGGCCTGGCCTGTGTCTCTGTGCTGGAGCCTGTTGCCTTATATGACAGTGACTGGGAGGGCTCCAGTGGCTTCGGCATCCTTCTCGGCCTGCCTGGTTTGAACTCTGCCTGCTGTTTCCGGGTACTTCTGGGGAAGAAGAGCCCGCAGGCCAGCCTTGGCTGTGCGCTTTGCCTGCTTGCTGCGCAGTTGAGGTGGCATGTGGGGTAGGGCCCTTCTTTTTGTCCTCTGTAGACCAAGCGCTCCACTTGTAAAATAAAAAAAAGGTAGCCCTTCCCCTCTCCTGAGTCCCAGTGGGAACTGAGAATGTAGGGTCTGTGTTGAAAAGACGGGGAGGGCTGTTAGGATGAAAGACAGTGGGAGGGCTGGCCAGCAGAGAGGGGTTGAAAGGAGGAGCTCCCTCTCTCAGATGTGGGTTCCTTTGCAGCCAGTCACCCCCTCGGTGCTGTTTTCTTTTCTTCCTTTCTGGATTACAGCCCTGGCCTGACCCCTGCCCCTCCCCAAACCCGCCTCTTCCCTTTTGGACCCGCCCCCAGCACTGCTGTGAAGCCTGCCAGCTCTGGCCCGCTTTCCAGGCCCACTGTGGGTGACCAGGATCCCTTGCAGGCCTAGGCTGGGGGCATTAATGAAGCCCAGATGCAGGACTCCTGACTGGCCCAAAGTTTGCTTCAGAGCAGAGGCAGCTTGGAAGAGCCATTTACCTCCCACTGTGTCCTAGCCCAGCTGCTGTTTAAAAAGCTGGAAAGCAGGTCCTGGCTGAATGAATGTAAGGAGATGGAAGAGGCTGCTGGGGGAAGCGGAGGAGGTCGGGGGCAGGGTAAGAAGGGAGGAAAGGCAGGCACAGAGTTCAGGCAAGGTCTGCACCATTGAGGCCTGGAGTCAGGTAGAGATGGAGGTTCCAGCTCACTACCACCCCTTAATGGTGGCTGCCTGTCCTCAGTGCTCTAGTCCAGGGCCCTGGGGAAGGTCCATGCAGATCATGGCAGCCCTCTGCAGAAAGAGGTCATGGCCAAAGGGAGACAGTCAATGAAGAATTGACCACCTCCTCCCCCTCCCCCCCACTGTTTTCCCAGGTGCATACAGATCTCAGGCAAGCCACAAAGATATGCACAGACTCCATTTTCCTAACAGTCAGGCCCATGTCGAGAATAGAGAGAATGATTGGTTGCTCTTATGGTTGCCAGATGCAGTACAAATATCACATGGAACAAACATGCTAAAATAAAAATGATCATTTATCTGAAATTCAGATTTAATAGGCCATCCTGTATTTTGATTTACTAAGTCAGCCATGTCTACTTTGCCCTTCTGGCTGAAATTCTTTTTTTTAACATCATAGTTTCATTGAACTGAAGCATACAAACAACAGTGCACACAGACCATTAAATGCATGACTCAGGGGATTTTCACAAGCCAAACATGTATGAAATGGACATTTAGGTCAAGAGAGGACATAGTACCTGAGCCTCTCACCAGTATCCCCACTTCCAGCAGGCTAAAATTTGTCTGTTTTGGACTTTAGGTGATTGAGCTCAGACACCTACATCTCCCCCCATTGGTCATGGGACCTGAATTTTGAGCCTGGGCACTTACTGGAGAGTTCAGGGGTTCTCACATCTCAGCCTCCTGAGTAGCTAGGATTACAGGCGTGAGCCACCAGCATCCAGTGACACCTAAGTTTTTGTGTGTGTGTCTTCTTTCCCACAGTACTGTGAAGATGGGCTGAGTTGGAAGTAATCCTTCATGTGTGATCATGACTCCCCATAGGAGTTAGCTGTATGGATTAGCCTAGTCTGTTTATGCAGGGTACTTCCACCTGTATGAACATTTTAGTACCTCTTTCTCTTTTACTTATTGCCTAAGAATAGCATTTCAGGGCCAGGGAAAGGTATATATGCACTTTTTTTTCTTTTTTTGTGCTGGTACACTGGAGCTTGAACTCAGGACCTGAGCACTCTATCTGGTACTCTAACCCTTGAGCTATACCTCCACTTCTAGCCTTTGGTAGTTAATTGGAGATCAAAGTCTCATGGACTTTTCTGCCCAGGCCGGCTTCGAATCTTGATTCTCAGATCTCAGCCTCCTGAGTAGCTAGAATTATAGGTATGAGCCACTGGTGCCTGGCTCTTCCCTTGCTGCTTTTAACTCACCCTAACCCTTGAGACCTCATGAATAAAATCATAGTTCCTTTTGGGGGGACAGGAAGGGGTCTGAGATCAGAACTCAAACTCAGTACCTGATACTTTCCCTCATTGGCTAGTGCTGTACCAACTACACCATGTCTCCAACCCTGAAATCAGAGTTCCAACCTTTAGCATTGAAGGCCTGTTTGGGGAATATCATCCTGAAGAGGAATTCTAGTTCCATCCTGAGCCAGTCAAAGCAATGCTAAATGACCACTCAGAATCTCCACTCAGGCTTCTGATGCAAGAGGTTCTGCTGATTCACATTTGGCTCATGTACTAAGAAGTCCAGGGGCTGCTACCTTCAAGCATACCTGGCTTCAGCCACAAACTTGTCCTCTGCTGGTCTGCCTCCCTGATGTTGCTTTTAGGCGTTCCCACTGGGAACAAGATGACCACCAGCACTGTGGGGTTGGTAATGTGTCACATTAGCAGCTCTCCTGGGAAGACATACTTCTCAATGGTCCAGCCAGGCCCTGAGCACATGTTAGTGGCTGTCACTCTCCTGCCCACCATGGAAAAACAAACTGGGGTGGGGGTGGGGGTCCCCAAAGGAAAGGTTCTAGATTCTTTTACATTGAGTAAAAGCAAAAACAAAATATAGCCCCAACAAGCCAGGTCACCTCTGGGACTGGGCGCTGTCCCTCAGCTCTTCAGCTCAAGGCTAGTGAGCTACCACTTTGAACTGCAGGGCCACTCCCGGCTTTTTCTGTTTATGTGTTGCTGAGGAATGGAACCCAGGGGCCTCATGCATGCAAGGCAAGCACTCTGCCTCTGAACCACCTTTCCAGCCCCCTCTCAGTTGTTTTCTTCCTCTAAATACTTTTGTTTGTTTTATAGTACTGAGAATAAACCCCAGAGCTTTCTGTGTGCATGCTAGGCAGCAGGCACTTTACCTCTGAGCTATATACTTCAAGCCTAGTTTTATCCCTTGATGTATCGATATGCAGAAGATATACAGAGACAAGGATGTTGAACCAGTTTGCACGTTGTTTGGGATTTTTTGCTAGTTTTTGTCAGTGCTGGGATTTGACCTCATCTTGAGCCACATCTCCAGCCCTATTTGTTTTAAGGTTATTTTTTAGAGTCTTTCTCCCCACCCTAGCCCAGACAGCAATCTTCCTAGCTATGACCTCACCAGTAGCTGGGAGACAGGCACAGGCCATATTGCCTGGCATGTTTTTTTTTTTTTTCTTTTTTTTTGCCGGTTGAGGGGCCTGAACTCTGGGCCTGGGTGCTGTCCCTCAGCTCTTCAGCTCAAGGCAAGTACTCTACCACTTGAGCCACAGCACCACTTCTGGCTTTTTCGAACCCAGGGCCTCATGCATGCAAGGCAAGCACTCTACCACTGAGCCACTTTCCCAGCCCTGCCTGGCATGTTCTGTTCAAATAGTTGCTAACTTTTTGCTTGGTATAGTCTTGAACCAAGACCCTCTAAATTTCCACCTGCCAGATAGCTAGGATTATACATGTGAGTCACCATGGCTAGCCCACATTTTGGTTTTCTGAGACATAGTCTTAGTATGTAGTCCAGGCTGGCTTTGAACTCACAATCTTCATACCTCTGTACTAGGATTACAGGTGTGTACCACCATGCCAAAACTTGTGTGTGTGTGTGTGTGTGTGTGTGGTGGTGATGGTGCTAGGGTTTGAATTCAGGGCCTTGAATTTGCTAGGCAGGCACTCTGCCACTTGAGTCACATACTTAACACTATGAAACATTTTTGAATATAACACTCCTTTGCTTATACATATCCACAGGTTCATAGGGACATAGGGTTGACAACATTACCCTCTTCATGGGTGTCCTGATCTTCCTGGGCTCCTGCTTAACCGGCTCCCTGACTTCCAGCCTACCCCTTGGCCTCTTCTCAGGTTTTGCTTGCTCTTCTCTCCCAGGCAGCTTCGAAGCCAGCTCAGCCTTGTTATCATCACCCGGATGCTGGGCCAGCAAGACATACTTTTTCTCTGGCAAGAGAAAACTCAGGTAAGTCCGTCTCAGCTGGAGCAGGAAGGTCAGTGGTGCATTGCCTACTCAGTCTTGAAGCTTTGCCAGAAAGACTACTCCAAGAACTAAGCTGAATTTGATATTTTTATATTTATTTTTTAAATTATCTCAGCTGGCGCCAGCAGCTCACACATGTAATCCTAGCCACTTAAGACGCTGAGAGCTGAGGATGGCAGTTCAAAGCCATCCTTTGCAGGAAAGTCAGTGAGATTCTTATCTCCAGCTAACCACCAGAAAACTGGAAGTGGTACTGGAAGTGGTGCTGTGGCTCAAAATTGTAGTGCACTAGCCTTGAGCAATAAGAGCTCAGGGTCAGCACCTATGCCCTGAGTATAAGCCCCATGACACACACACACACACACACACACACACACACAAAAGAAAAAAGATTTTTAAAAAGATAATGAGTGGGGGGCAGATAGGAAGGGGAAACAAAGGAGAAGGCAAAAATGCTTGATAAGAAATGTACTCATTATCTTGCCCATGTAATTGTAACTCCTCTGTGTGGTATTTTCACAATAATAAAAAAAAGATAATGAATGATAAAAATGGAAACCAATACTATCTGGTGGCTCAGACCTTTAGTCCTAGCTACTCAGGAGGCTGAGATCTAAGGACAACAGTTCAAAGCTAGCCTGGACAGAATGCAATTCATTTCCAGTTAAACACCAAAAAGCTGAAAGTAAAGTTATGGCTCAAGTGATAGAGCACCAACCTTATGTGGAAAAAGCCCAGAAAGAGTGCAAGGAACTTGAGTTCAAGCTCAAGTGCTAACACACACACACACACACATGTGTGTGTGTGTGTGCATTGTGCACATGCAGGTGCACAAGCAAAATACTACCAAATAAAAGCTCTTCCCTCTAGGTGCCCCTTGGGATCTAGTGTTAAGTCATCTGATCTGGCAGCTCAGAGGCCCTAGAGATGCTAAGAATGGGTTAAGGAAGTTGAGAACATCTCACCTCCCCAGGATTTTCCCAGGAATTCCTGAAGAGATGTAGGCTCCAACAAAACTCCCAACACAACCACACTAGAAGAGGCAGGCACATGGGCAAAGGCTGGGTTACACTAGACCCATAGTACATAGTAAGCTTGAGTAAATCCTCAGAGTGCTGGTGGAACATTCCAGCATATCCTCAGGCCTGGTGGACCAGGTGTCTAGATACTGTGATTGTAGAAAGGGAGTTCAGAAAAATGATGGGTAGTTGGCTTGTCAGGATGGGCTCAGCCTGGCTTTTGTTCCAATGTTGCCCTTTGCCCTAGAACTTGGTATATCTGAAGCTATTGTCTTTCCTTCTCCAGAGGTTATGGCCCAGCCCCAATGCCTCAGTCCTGTTCTTCCCCCTTAAATTAGTTGTGGTTCATATCTCTTGGGTCTTTCATTGATATGTTCAGTGCCATCCTCCTGGGAGCCAGGTCTTTGAGGGAGGAAAACCCATTTTTCTGTTTACTGCTCCCCCTGGTACATACTAGGGAGGCAGTCTATGCTTGTGGGTGAACAAATACCAAGGGGGATTGTCAGGGTACACAAGAGACAGTGCTCCCCAGGCTATCCTTGGGAAGGTCCATGGAGGAGATGATCTGCCTAGAGGTCACTAGATAGCTAGTATATTAGAGTAAGGAGCCACAGAGATATAGTGATGGGACACAGAACAGAGGCATTCCAGGGACTCAGATGGCAACTTAATGCAGACGTTGATGCAAGGGAGTGTCACTGAGGCTAAAGAAAATAGAGGGGTGGTGAAGGGGGGAGGCAGGAAGCCGAGTACAAGGAAGGCACCTTGCCTAGGAGCTTTGTGGGCAGTGACCAAAAAGACCAGACTGTTTCAAGCCTTGAATGTTTTTCCTGGAGGAGTGCACGATGAAGCCACATGGGCCAGGAGGGAAGCTGCAAAGGATGGAGGCAATTGATAAGGGCCCATCAGGGTGCTGCCTCTCCCACTGAGAGATGTCTTGTGAAGTCCCATCAGCTGGCTCCCTAAGGGCTTGGATCTTGAGGGTGCTCAGGAGCGGAACAAGATCTACCCATAGTCTGGGGTTCCCAGCTGCAGGGCCTTATAGTACACCAGTCACCCATCACCCATCTGCCAGCATCTGCTCAGAACCTGACTACATGCCCATCTGCTTGTTAGCCCATGTCCCAGGCTCTGCCTCAGGTGCCAGGCACCAACAGGCTCTGGGGAGACAGCACCAGACAACCTTGAAAGATGGGTGAGCAACCTGGCTGCAGCCAGGTGACTAACTCTGCCTGAAGACAGTGAGATGGCTCTGAAGCCGGGTCTTAGAGGATGAGTCTGTGCCTGTACTTCCAGGAGCAGAGGAAGTGACAATCAGGATGGCTCCCAGGATGGGGAGAACCAGCAGGGGCCTGTCCGTAACCCTCCACATGTGCTTCCTCTTCACTGCAAGCCCCGGCAGCAGCTCCACAGCCACCCCATAGCTCTGCCTCTGCCAGGCACACCCCTTTCCAGTCTGGCCTGTCAGACTCATCTCCTTGAAACATGCCTCCAAGGGCCCCCTCATCCCCAAAGCTGTCCACAAAGCCCATATGCCCCCTTGCCCAACTTCAGCTGGCCTGCCCAGTGCTGCCTGATCTTCTCAGCCTCCTCAAGCTCAGCCTGCCTGTGTCTGCACACAGCTTTGGCTATGCACTGGCCCCTTCTTCCTTTCTACCATCATGCCCCGCTAGAAATAGAGGTCACTACCGCGCAGCAGCACTGGCTATGTCTTGGTGCTGGTCTCAGTGCTTACTTCTGGTAGCAGCCCTGGGCTCTTAAGGATTGCTACCCTCATCCATATTGTGCAGATGGGGAAACTGAGGCAGGATACTTTCCCAGGGCCACATAATAGAAAAGCAGAGGAGCAGGGATCACTGCAGTGTGCTGCCTTGGTAGTCCTTAGCAGCCTGGACCACACCTGCCACCTGGTGCTGAAGGTGCCCTGCCCATTCTCTGTGAAGGCACCTCAAGGGTTGAAACACTCTTGTAGAAGCAGAAGCCTAGTTTGGAGGTGTGCAAGTGGTCTGCAGAGCATTACTGGGCAAGAAGGGTCCTCAGCATCCAAGCTGCTTGCCCTATGACTGCCCCAACCTGCAATCCCAAACCCCAGGAGCAAGACAGGGTCTTGCTGGACTTAAGGGACAGAAAAGAGTTGGGATGCAACAACCCCAAGGCTTGAATTTTCCAGGAGAGTCCCAAGGTTTAATCAGTAATTCTGTTGTTCTGTTGAATACTGGGAATATTCCAGAAATAGCAGTGTTTTGGCTTCAGGCCCTAGTATGCTCCAGACTGCTCTGGGCATGGAAGATAGAGCAGAACAGAATTCAGCCCCTCTCTTGGGACATTCCTAGTCAGGGGAAGGCAAACACACAGGCACTGAGAAAGAAGTAACAGTTGGGATGAAGTGCCAGATGGTTATAAATGCTGTGGAGAAAAATAAAGCTAGCTACAGAGGAGAGAAAGCATTGGGAGGATGCAATTTATTTTATTTATTTTTTTGCCAGTCCTGGGGCTTGAACTCAGGGACTGAGCCCTGTCCCTGAGCTTCATTTGCTTAAGGCTAGCATGCTACCACTTGGGCCTCAGCGCCACTTCTGGCTTGTTCTGTGTATGTGGTACTGAGAAATCGAATCCAGGGCTTCATGCATGCTAGGCAAGCACTATACCACTAGGCCACATTCCCATCCCAGGAAGATGCAATTTTATAAGAACAGAGAAAATGGCATTTGTACACAGACCTAAAGGAAGCAGATTTCCTAGGGAAAAGCATGCCCAGGAAAGGGAATAGCAAGTACAATGGTTCTGGGACAGACAAAGGCTGCTTGGGTAGGAGTAGAGGACTGAGGGTAGAATAGCAGGTGTTGAAGTCAAGACAGGTTAAGTGGAGGCTCAGTGAGCCAGAGCCTCAAGGCCATGATGTGAGAGTTTTAGCTTTCATGCCAAAGAGAAGAGCTACAAGTTTGTTGTTGTTGTTGTTGTTCTGTGCCAGTACTGGGGCTTGAAGTCAAGTCCTCATGTCTCTGCTGGATTCTTGCTTGTATCTAATATACTCTACCACTAGAGTCATACATTTGTCTCTGAGATTTTGCCAGTTAAACAGGGTATTAAGAGTCTTGTGGATGTGTCTGACTGGGCTGGCTACAATCTCAATTCTCAGATCTCAGCCTCCTGAGTAGCAAGGGGATTGTATATGTGAGCCACTGGTCACAGATGGACACACTGGAAGATTTTGAATGGAGGCCAGACAAAATCTGATTTGTAAAAAGTTTTAGGTTTACTCTGACTGCTGCATTGAAACTAAATGGTCCAGGATAGGGAGGAAAGGAAGGGTACAGTTATCCTGCCCTGATAGTTGGCCTGGGAGGTAGCAGCAGGGGTGAGAAGTGTTCAAATCGTAAGTCGTTTCCCAAGTATGACCAGCAGGGTAAGAGAAAATAGCCTAGAGTACTCAGGAGATGCAGGGCTAGATAAAATGCCCTTCATTTACCCAGCCAAGACCCAGGCAAGACACAGGTAGAGCAGGTTTGGGAGGAAACTGGGAGTTTGTTTCTTATTCCAGGCCACTTCTTGCAACAGAGCAAACCAATTTCCCCTATTTTTAGTGCCAGTCCTGGGCACTGTCCCTGAGGTGTTGATGCTGTTGTTGCTGTTGTTATTTGTTTTGCTCAAGGCTAGCTCTCTACTTCATGAGCCACAATTCCAATTCTGTGGGGATTTTTTTTGAGGGGGGAGGGGGCGGGAGGAGGATACTTAATTTGAGATCAGAGTCTTGCGGACTTTTCTGCCTGGTCTGGCTTTGAACTGTGATCCTTAGATCTCAGCCTCTTGAGTAGCTAGGCGTGAGACACTGGTGCCTAGCCAACAAACCAGTTTTGTTGTCATTGTGTTTGAGACAGGGTCTGGTTTTGTACCCCAGACTAGTGCCAAATTCTCCATCCTGCCTTGTCTTCCCTAGTGTGTATACCATCACACTCTGTGGCAAACCACTTTTGTCAAACTGTGTCTTCTAGTTTGGAAAGCACGGACTTTAAGTGGGCAAAATCAAAGAGATTAAATGTTTGAAGTTCCTAGGATGAAGTAATCTGCAGTTCTGACCAGCTGTTTATAAACCTAACAAATACTTAGTGCAGTGAACAAAGCTGCCCTCAGAGAATGTACATTCTGGCTAGGGCTCAGGGCTGGTAGTAAATTAGCAACATAAGCAAGGAAGCTCCCTGGTGGGGAGGAAATAGGGGGCGCTGTGGAAAGAAGAACTCATAGTAAAGCGGTTGGCAAAGGTGATAGGCACAGAAGCTACAGATTGGATGAGGAGTTCAGGTGGACAGGCCCCCTGGCAAGGTGAGCTAGAGCAATCTTGGCTGTGCAAATAGGATCCACCCCCAGGATTTATATATAGGAGCTACATATGCAGTGTGGACAGTTGCTTCACTAGAACTGCCATTGCTTGCAGGGTGCTGAAAAGACTGGTGGAGGCCTGTCCTCTTAGGTGATCATTTTGCCCCAGGTGTCTGTCCTAATATGCTGAGTGTTTGCTGAGTTGGCATCTGGGGAAGGGTGGGGGTGGGGAGATTGCTGGTCCAGCCCTGGCCCTGATAGGACCCACATGGCTCAAATAAGCCCAGATGCAGGAAGGAGATTGGCTGGAGGGGCTGAGCTGGAAACAAAAGAAAATTAGCAGATTGAATAGGCAGCAGCTTGCGGAGCACAAGGAAGTTGCTTTCAAGGAGTGAAAGGAAAAACACAGGAGTGAGCAAGTGAGCACTGTTGTATGCTTTCCTCGTTAGGCCCCACCCAGGACTCCTAAGTAGGGAGCGTCCTGGCCTTGAGTAAAGCCGGCCTGCCAGAGGCTGCTGCCGGGGTGTGGACTGCTGGGCCAGCCCCTGTGCTTGCACAGCTGTGAGCCTCCAGCCAGCAGGCAAGGCTGTTTTTGGAAACTATCCCCAGACTCAGGAGGCCTTAGCAAGGCAAAGCGGTACAGCCTCAGATGAAGCCTCTCTCTGCCCAGAGTCTGACTTCTTCCTTCCTGCTGCTTCCTCTCCCCTCCTAAGCAGAGAAGTCCTGGCTCTTCTCCAGGAGGCAAGGCCTGCCTGCCTCCTAGCCTCCAGCCCAGCTGCTCTTGTCTTGTCTAAGACTGCTAGGGTGCTGAGCAGGTGCTGGCAAGTGAGTCACAGGAGGAAGCCAGGTGTGTCAGCCCAGCTGGGCTCCAGCAAGGAGCCTGGGGCTGAGGTGCCTTGCCTGTGGCCACAGTGCACCTGCTGGACCTAATGAGACAGTGTTCTGTGAATTACCCTGCCTGTGCCCCTCCCCCTGCCCTGCAGCTCCCCTCTCCCCAGGGTTACACATGACATGGAAGGCCCAGGAGCTGGGAGCCTGCCTGTCTCTGCGCAGCAGTCCTTGCTGGAACTCAGCTGCAGTGATCCTAAAACCTGGTGCATGGGCTGGGCCAGGAAAGGTTAGAAGGCAGTCACATGTTTTTCCAAGGATTTCAGGAACAGTTTATTCAGTGGATGGGCAGTTGCTTCACAGTTGAATGGGAGGTAGATTGACACATCAGCTCAATGTTTAGAGAGGGAATCCCTCTCTAAACAGCCTTACTGCCAGGTGCTGGTGGGCTCACGCCTGTAATCCTAGCTACTCAGGAGGCTGAGATCTGAGGATTGTGGTTCAAAGCCTGGGCAGGAAAGTCCATGAGACTCTTATCTCCAATAAACCACCAGAAAACCAGAAGTAGCACTGTGGCTCAAGTGCTAGAGTGCTCACCTTGAGCTGAAGAGCTGAGGGACAGCGCCTAGGCCCAGAGTTCAAGCCCCACAGCTGACCAAAAATAAACAGCCCTACTATAAGAGGAGGTTTTTAAGACAGAGAAAACTGACACAGGTGTCAGATGATAATGACCTCTTGGTAATTTTATTGGATAAGAACATGGTATTGTGTTTTTAAAAGGAAATAATTTTTAATGAAAATGGTATTGTTGGGGATTGTTGGATTATTGGTAGGATCTTCTTGACCCTTTTGAGTGAAATAACTCAATGTTTAGAATTCTAGAGGAGGAAGGGGACATAGTGAGGGCAGAGGAAACAGGCAGGGCAAAACAAAGATGATTGTAGTTACCACTCAAGGATGGACAGGGGGCTTAGGGCACTGTTTCTCTCCGTCATGTCTGTCACAAATGCCACAATGAAAAAAAAATGCCATAATGACAAGTTCAGTGAAAAGAGAAGGCTAAAGGGGAGAATGGGCTGGCAGGTGAGAAGCGGAGGCGGGCACAGGCCTTCCCAGTGATAGAGGAAACCTTGCTCTGATTTTTGCATGAGAAAGAGATTTTTTTTTGGGGGGGGGGTCAGTCATAGGGTTTGAACTCTGGGCCTGGGTGCTGTCCCTCAGCAATTCAGCTCAAGGATAGCACTCTACCACTTGAGCCACAGCACCACTTCCAGTTTTCTGAAGTGGTTTATTGGAGATAAAAGTCTCATGGCCTTTCCTGCCCAGGCTGGCTTTGAACCACGATCCTCAGATCTCAGCCTCCTGAGTAGCTAGGATTACAGGCATGAGCCACCAGCACCCAGCAAGAGAAAGAGAATTTTTTGTAGATGAGAATACTTGTGGGTCTAAGAGGCCACTCAGCTCCAAAAGGAGATGAGGACTCAGGTGCTAGAAACGGGTGTTTACAGCCCACTGGTGTAAGCTGAAGATGTCCCCGACACCCATTCCCTCACTTCATGAGTGACTGTCCTTTCTCCTCCCCAGCTGTCTTTACTCAGCCAGCTCCTGAGCCTTATGAGGCCATCATCCCTCAGGCAGTACTTGGTCTCTGAGCTTTTGCCACCCTTCCAGAAGCAACAGCATAAAGCCAGTGCCGAGCTAGACCACAAGGTAAGCACCTGGCATCTGTCTGCCTCCATCAAGGCAGTGCCACTACGCGTAGCGGGAAAGGCAGGGCTGTCTGCATTGCACAGCCTGCGGGACCTGTGGCTGCCAGTCCTCCCAGAACCTCAGGCCATGCTAGGACAGAGGCCAGCAGGCTGCCTTCTATGTAGAGAGGAGATTCCAAAACCTGTAATTAGCACCCTGGCCCACACCATGCACTCAGATGTAAGGAAGGTTGTGTGTACGGACATGCAGGCCATTGAATCACCTGGCCCTGCTTGCGTGTGCTCTGTGAGAGCTCAGTCTTTAAGTAGAGTTTGGAAAGATGTAAGAGCCAAAATATGCTGGTGGAAGGGAGGAGGGAGTATGTTTAGAAGTTGAGAGAACATGTAGATAGGAGAGGGTAGAGCTGGGCTCAGCCTCCCTGCTGGTTCCCACTCTGACTGTGACTGAGGCTGAGCTCTTGGCTCACCCCCAGCTTCTCCTAATGGACCTTCCGGGCATCACCCAGCTTTCTCTAAAGCTAAACTCTGGTGGGAGTTGGGCAACGAGCTACTCCTGAGGCAGGAGGTTACAGAATTTGGAACAGTAAGACCTGTGGATCTCTGAAATGATAAATGTCCCATGTGGAGGCTTGAGAATAGATGCTGAGAGCCCAGCTCCCTGGAGCACAGGAGAGGTGCAGATCTCCACCGAGACTGAGGATGAAGAATGGAGATAGGATTCTTCCTAACCAGGAAAGCAGTACTTCCCAAACCACGGTCGGAGGTTGAATGCTGATGATCTAGAAAGCCAACCTTGTGGGCATCACTCTGCAAATCAGATAAATAAACTAACTACTTAATGAACACAAATGAACCATTAAGAAGATATGCTAATCCCCAGGTGCAGGCTCCTCTTCCAGAACAGGTAGGGAAGGTTATCTTTCAGTCATGCTTCATATTAGTACATTTATGAGGCTGCGGCCTCCCAGGAGTGTGTGAGCCAGCCGTCTGCATGGCCTCTTCTCCTGTGCCAAGTATTTCCCAGGAAGCAGGGGATGGTTACAGAGGCCGGTTGTGGGACTCTAGAAAGAGACAGGGTAGCCCGTGGGGAGGTGTTCTGTCTGGGCAGGACAACTGAGGCTTAGGGGCAGGGGGAGAAAGGGAGATGAGAACAAAGAGGAGGCTGTGTCTGGTCTGGCTGAGTGGAGACTATAGCCTCCAGGCGACCTGGACCTCACCAAGTAGATACGTGGTTCCTACCCGCCCGAGGCTTCCAATTGTCTCACTCCATTTCTGAGTCTGTCTGGTAGTAGTGCAGGAGGTGTTCACAGGATGGCCTGGGGGTGGGGATGAGCTGATTAAAGGCATTCTTTACTTTGAGGGCTTTTCTCACTGTGAAAAGCTGTGAAAAGGCCCCTCCAAGTTAAACCACTGGTTGGCAGCCATATTGGAAATTACTGATTTGGTCTGTTAGCAGAGAAAGGCTTGCACATCTTTGGGCAGTCACTGTCCCAAACAGTGGTGCTGGTTGGGGACAGTGGAAGGGGCAGACAATGCTGAGGTAGCTCTTAGAACCTCTATACTACAATGTATGAGTTTACTGGGCTTTCCTTCACCTTGTTCTGAGGGTGTGGTACCTAAGAGCAGATGAAGGCAAGAGTGGGGGTACATGGAGTCAGTGAGGATGAAGAAAAGTGTGAAATGGACCAAGTGCAGACTGGGAGGGGCCAGGCAGGGCAGGTGACTGGGCTCCACTCCCACCTCGGCTTACTGTCTGACTCCTCATTAGGCCTAAGTGTGTTTCATCTTCAAAGACAAGATGGGGCTACTCACTAGCCAAAAAGAGCCGCGGCGTCATCTGCCCTATTTTATAGGGAGTGGTGGTCTGGACTGGGGATAAGTCTTTCATCCCCAGAGCTCAAAGTCTGCCTTTTTGCCCCTTGAATACAGTGGGGAAACTGAGACCAGCGTCAGGTCAGCTGGAGGTGATTTGGCAAGGAGGAAATGGCTACTTTCCCAGCCTCTGGGGCTGCCATACTGAGCCCCATCCCCCATTCCTCCTCCCCTGGCCAGTGCACTCCTGTCTGGGAGATTTCCTGCCCTAAACTGCAGGGGGTTGGTCACAGCCCTCCTCAAACCCTACAAATAAACACTTCTGCCTGGCTCCTCTCCCCTGGTCTCCCCAGCCTCCTCCTCTCTCAGGGAGGCACACTGTTCTCTCCTTGTCTGGCTAGCTAGCTAGACCGTGGGCACAACCATGTCTCTCAGCCTTACATCCTACTTCTGTCATTAGATGAATGAATTAATGAACAAAAGGAATTAATTCTGGTTTAATCCCCCTTCTGAATTTTCTTCTCCCTTGTTCTGTCCGTCTGCTGTTATGCCACCATTCTGGAAACTGCCCTCCCTCTCTGCATGCCCTCTGACCAGTAATGGCCCCCGGGTCTCTTTATGTCCTTGTATTATTAAAGCTGAAAGCATTTAGGGCCTAGGCTTCTCTGAAGTGTTACCTGTGTGCACCAATCACAGTACTTTGTTGGTAATTATAAGTTAGTGAGGTTCCTGCATGGGAAAGCTAGCCACGAGTATTTTAACAAAAGAGCAACACACTCAGGCTTTAGCTCTGTGAGGGGGCAAGGAGGCTGGCAGGGGAAGAGCTGGTCAGGAAGAAGGGACAGGCTGAGTTCTCAAAGCTGGCTATTTGTCTCAGCTGGATCAAAGTTGCTTAGCAAATCATATATAGAAAATAAGAACTTTCGTGGACTCTCCTGCTTCTCCAGAAGTGGCTGGAATACTTTAAGCATTTTGAAGTGCGGAGCCATCTGGGCTGGCTATTCAGGAGGCTGAGGCAGGAAAATCTATCCTCGCATCCAGGAGTTGAAGATCAGCCTGGGAAACATAGCAAGATATCATCTCTGAAGGAAAAGATAAAGAAGTGTTGAATCCATCGGCCTTGGTCTGTCTAGTTTGAGCTAGGTTCACCCAGAGAGCATCTAGTAGGAAGATACTTGTCTAACATCCTGTCTGGTAGAGCTAGATAGAGAGGATAAGACAGGTTTATAGAAGAGAGAGCAGTGCTTCAGAGCTGGCCTCCAGAGCTTCCCTTTGGTCCTCCCAGACCCTTAGTTTGGCCCTAGGAAGACAAACATTGCACAACTTGATTCAGTTTGTCACTATCTCCTCCAAGCTACCAGCTTAGCAACTCAGAAGTCGGGGCCTTTTGCTTACTTTAATCGGATAGTGTAAATTGTATGTGGTCATATTTAGTCTAATTATGTTATGTCCAATCTCAGGATTATGATCCACTCACTTTTATTGAAATTGTTAATATTGTGTCTTGTTAGACTTGCATTGCATACCATTTTTTCCACTGGCCAATTGGTCTTGCTTTTCTCCATTAAGAAATTATATGAGCCAGGCACTGGTGGCTCACACCTGTAATCCTAACTTCTTAGGAGGCTAAGATGTGAGGATTGCAGTTCAAAGTCAGCCTGGGCAGGAAAGTCAGTGAGACACTTGTTTTTTTGTTGTTGTTGTTGTTATTGTTGTTGTTTTTTAAATTACTGGTTGTGGGGCTTGAACTCTGGGCCTGAGCGCAGTCCCTCAGCTCTTCAGCTCAAGGCAAGTGCTCTACCATTTATGCCACAGCGCCACTTCCAATTTTCTTTTGGTTAATTGGAAATAAGAGTCTTATGGGGGCTGGGAAGGTGGCTCAGTGGTAGAGCGCTTGCCTTGCATGCTCGAGGCCCTGGGTTTGATTCCTCAGCACCACATAAGCAAAAAGAAAAAAGCCGGAAGTGGCGCTGTGGCTTAAGTGGTAGAGCGCTAGCCTTGAGCTGAAGAGCTGAGGGACAGCACCCAGGCCCAGAGTTCAGGCTCCACGACCGGACCCATAAAAAAATAAAAAAAAAAAAGAGTCTTATGGACTTTCCTGCCTGGGGTTGGCTTTGAACTGTGATTCTCAGATCTCAGCCTCTTGAGTAGCTAGGATTATAGGCGTGAGCCACGGGTGCCCAGCCAGTAAGACACTTAACTCCAATTAACCACCAGAAAATTAGAAGTGGTGCTGTGGCTCAAAGTGGTAGGGTGCTAGCCTTGAGATGAAAAGCTCAGGGATATCACCCGGGCCCTGAGTTCAAGCCACATGATCCTCCCCCCCCCACACACAAATTATATGTATGTGTATGTATTTTATGTGTGTATAGGTGTGTATATATATATATATATATATATATATCTTCTGTATATACATGTTTTATGTATATACTTATGAAGGAGGGTGCTGGGGATTGAACCCTGGACCTTTCAAATGCAAAGCACATGCTCTGTCTACCACTGAACAATACCTCTGCCCAGGTACTGTGTTGTTGGGAGTCTTTCCCCATAGGGATCTGAAAGGTCTAAGGAATCAGGATCCTTATGGTAGAATGGAAAGTTTTCTCTAGTTGATTAAATGTGAGGTCTTAGAAGAAGTTAACTGTCTCCCATGTGTGAGAGAAAAACTAGACAGAAGTGAAGCACCAAGAGCCTAGCTCCTTTCCCTGTACACCTCCTCCTGGTCTGAAAGTGTTCTCAGAGAATGCCAGCCTGGAACACACTGAGGGCTGGGCATGGGGGAGTTTTTTGTGTTGTGGTGTATGTGTGTGTGTGTGTGTGTGTGTGTGTGTGTGTGTGTGTGTGCGTGTGTGTGCGTGTGTGTTGGTAATGGGGCTTAAACTCCGGGCCTCATACTCTTGTTCAGCTTTTATTGATCAAGGCTGGCACTTTACCACTTGAGTCACACCTCCATCCACTTCCAGCTTTTTGCTAGTTAACTAGAGATATGAACTCTTAGATTTGTCTGCCCAAGGTAGGTTTGATCCAGAATCTTCAGATCTCAGCCTTCTTAGTGTCTAAGATTACAGTATAAACCATCTGTACCAGGCTTGTTTTGTTTTGCTTCGCTTTGTGCCAGTACCAAAGCTTGAACTCAGTGCCTCCCTCTCTCCCTTGGCTTTCCTACTCACACCTGGAACTCTGTCA